TCGAGCTTTCTGGTGCGAGTCCTAATTCCAGCGAGAACTAATGTCCCTTGAATCTTCAGCTTTGTAAATCTTAATTCAACTAAACTTTCTGACCTGATCTTCATGGATGAACATGTATTGTGGATGTCTTGTTCTTTCAAGGCCAACAGCGATGACTGTTTGTGACTGGTGCTTATTCATGGATAAACCAATTTGGGAATGCCAAAACCGCCCCTTTATATTTTTCTATGATGTCAAATTGGTCCTTGTATTTTTGTGCTGCGATAACGTTAACAACTGTAGGAGATTTTTTTTTCCTTTCAAGCATAATGGGTATTTAAAAGTGGAAAGCCTGAATCTTTGTTAGTTTTTGCCTTCTTGCCTAGAAGTTCTTGGTGCGGCGAAAGGTGCAAAGCAGCTAAATAGCGCAATCATATACTTGGTAATATAGAGAAATTTTGACAAACATATAGAGATTAATTTCGAACAGCAACTTTATTTCAATCTTTGCTGTGTAAAAATCCTACTAACATGATTTGTTTAGTAAAATAGGCGTACGACTCTCAACTGTTGGAAAAAGAAGTTAGAATATTTTTCATTGTATAATCATTTGTTTCTAGTCTAGACTGTTGGAAAAAGAAGTTATCATGTGATCGAAAGTTTAGTTGTCTAATAATTCTTTTTTGAATTTTTCTTAGAGATAATTTTTTTGTAGACATTTTATAAAGCTTCTGTTACATATTTTAATATGTACATATTAAAATATCATCCTTAGCTAGAAGAAAAACAAACACTTTGTTGTAAGGAATAAAAGTTTGTCACAAGAGATCACAAACACTTTATTGCAAAAAAAAAAATAAATAAATAAATAAATAAAAGTTCGATGACAATATTTATTATTTGTCGCGCATTTTGAAATATTATGGCAACTTTTTAGGGAACAATACATAAATCCTACATCTAAGAATTACATTTCAAAATAACAAACTCCAAAAATCTTTTCAAAAATCAGGTGTTTAATAAATTTATTAAATATTAGAATATAATATAATATACATTAATTATTTTCACTCATGCCATCTCACGCACCCCATCCTATCACCCCACTATACCACATTCCCTCCACCTCTCGACCGGAGACGGCCATCGACTCCGGCAACTGTTCCGGCGATCACTCCAGTGGCCGCTTCTGTGACTTTCCATCGATCACTCCAGCCGTCGATCCGGCGACTATTCCGACGATCGTCCCGACGCCCACTCCGACGGCTATTCGACGATCCCTTCGGCAAGCTGCTGCAATGACCATTCCAACGCATGCTCCGATCAACCTACCCACCCGATCCACCCACTTAGGGGTGGGCGCGGGTCGGTTCGGTTCGGTTCGATTTTTTTCGGTTCCAGAAATTTTCGGGTATCTAGTAAATGGAAC